CTGAGCAGTGCGCATTCTTAACCACTGAGCCATCTCTGCAGCCCTGAGCAGTGCGCATTCTTAACCACTGAGCCATCTCTGCAGCCCTGAGCAGTTGCTTTGAGACCCACAAATCTTCATAACCACTTGGTGGCCCCACCTCCCTATACACAACGGTATCTGCCCCCTCTTCCCACATCCAGCAGAGGGCAAGTTGTCCATCTGGGTAGGCACCATGGCTGTCTTATGACAGAGACTGAGAAGGGGACAGGAAAAGGTGAATATAGTCTCTTCATCCTTCTCCAGGGCCCTTTGTCCATCTCCTCTTAATAAAACATCACTTGTGTTCAAAGAGAAATGTAGAATGAGCAATAATGTCTGGTCATCATTCTTCCCATTGTGTAACTAATTGTAGGCCTTTTTGTTATACCTTGTCACGTTATCCACGACAGTGTGGCACTTTGAGTTTCATTTCATTGTTGAATCAGCAGGGACAGAGAAGTCCAGTAAGCTGACCTTGCTGATCTTAGAAATGAAGACCCTTCATCTCCTGCCAGGGCACTTCCCTTAGCAAAACTCTAGCAATTAGATTCAGGAAGACAGTCAAGACCTCTTGGCTGTGTGATGCCCTGGTATGAGGTCATTCTCCAAAGTGGCCCTTGGATACGAGAGGATTCTTTAAAAATAGCCATTGGCCTCTTCAGTGTGAAATAGCCCTATCCTTAAGTGACTCCGCCTCCCCTGAAGTTGTATAGACATGTGCTACTCGGTACCAGTGGTGGAACTGTTCCTAGTCTGCCACCTACATGTGTCCTGGGGTGAGAGGGAGCTGCTTGACTTTATCTGCATGCCTACTCTGTGAGGTTTAGAATTTAAAGCAGATGAGACTCCCTCCTTTCCTCCCCCTCTTCTTTTCTTATACTAGGAATTGTACCTAGGGCACTGTACCTTCCAGGCAAGCACCCCCACTGTACTACACCCCTAGCCCTCTTAATTTTTCCCATTTTGAGACAAGAGTCTCCTGACTAAGTTGCCCAGGCTACCTTTGAACCTAACTCTATAGCCCAGGCAGGCCTTGAACCCACACACTCTCCCTAACTGGGATCATGGGACCTCAAGAGAGATCCCTAAAACTGGCTTTGGCAAGATGGTCTATCAAAATGTCAGACCTCAGCCCTGAAGCAACCAGTAGAACTGAGGGGAATAACAACTTAGGAAGGAGCACTAGAGGAGTGTTGCCTGTCTTGGGGCTGCTGAATTCACAGAGGGGGGACCGGTACAGTACGGTTCCAAGATGTCACTATGCTGTGTTATCTTACATGGTGCAGCCCTTGAGAGTTAGACGAAAACGATCCCCAAACACCTGTGCCTTCCGATCTCAACACAATGGATGTACTGGGGTCTGCCCATTGCAGACCTGTGTGTGGACACAGCTTCATTTCCTTGGAACTCATTCACATTTCTAAGGGCCAAAGCTCCTCCCAGCAGGAAGCATACAGGCTGTCTGAAATTGCTGAACTGTGCCTCGATGGAGGCTGGATCTGAAGACTGTAGTCAATGATGGACCCTAAAAGCTCAGCCCACCCCGTGCTGGGCCAGGTCTTTCAGTCTTCCCTTGGTACTTAATCTCGCCTATTTGTTGTTTTCAGAGCTGGACTACAGAAACTCCTATGAAATCGAATACATGGAAAAGCTTGGCTCCTCCTTACCCGTGAGTTCCTCCTATACACTGGCCTGGCGGGGACTCCTGTGGGGTCTCCAGCAAGGCTGCACAGGGTCGTTCAGAGTTGTCTCCTTACACAGAAATGCCACTCTCCATCCCTAGACTCATTGCTCCAGGTCTTGGAACTCTAGTCTGACCGCCTTACCAGTAACTCTTGTCCCTTTTAGCCATACATTGTATAGTCAGTGCCCATATCCACTTGCACTCTCCTGTAGGCCTTGATTGTAGAAGGACTCTCAGGGGTTCTGAGCTACAGCCCCTGCTGTGGCCTCTGCTCGTGACCCTCCTGCCCAGCCAAGAAGAAAGAAGCTTTGTTGATTCTGGCCAAGCCCATTGCCCTGTCTCTTTCTTTGGGGTCTGTCTCAGTTACTTTGCTGTTGCTGTGATAAAACACCATGACCATTTCGGGCTTAGGGTTCCAGAGGATTAAGAGTCCATGATAGCAGAGCAGAAGCACATCTTGAACCACAGGCAAGAAGCAGTCTTTAAACTCTCAGCAGAGCTCGCCTCCAGTAACACAGCTTCCTCCAGCAAGGCCCCGCCTCCTCAACCTTCCAAACACCATTAACCTGGGACCAAGTATTCAAATGCCCAAGACTGTGGGGGACATCTCATTCAAACCCACCACAGGGCCTCAGTGGCCTTGCTCACCACTGGGGTCAGCATGCTGTCACTTCCCCATTCCCTTGTGAGGACTGAGAGCGTAGCTGGTGAACTCCGCATCCTCAGCACGGGTGTTTGCCACTGTGGCCCATGAGCACTGAGGGGCTGAACAGGGCACGTAGCAGTACCAGAGGGTTCTTCCCACCTTAGGTCTCCCTGGGTCCTTCTCTCCTACCCTCCTGGCCCTCTCCTAGTCACCTCCTGCTTTCTCCTCTCTTCCGGGGGCTTGAGAAAGCTGAGGCTTGCTTGTTTCTTGTTGACAAGTACTTTCTTGACTTGAGTGGCGTACTCAGGCCACTGTTCCTGGCTAATGCATGTGTACCTTTGATTCCTGCAGCAGGATGATGACACTCCGAAGAAGCAGGCCTTGTACCTCATGTTTGACACCGCTCAGGAGAGCCCCGTCAAGTCTTCTCCCGTCCGGATGTCGGATTCCCCAACTCCGTGTTCGGGGTATGACTTCTATGATGGGAGAGTTGTGGCTTAGGTCAGAGGCCCCCAAGTCCTTGTATACCTTCCCGCTGTTATTCTGACTTCGTTCCATTTGTGTGTGTGTGTGTCTGCAGGTAGCCCATAACTCAGTCTGTCCACAAGGGCACAGATGCATCACTTCTGTTTCCAAGGGCTCTTTGAAAAAGGTGAAACAGCTGACTGGCAGTAATAGACACACACACACACACACACACACAGAGCCAGTTCACACTCAACTCTATTCTGTTGTCGGTCCAATAGTGACAGTGTGGCACAACACTGAAAGCTTAAGTCTCTTATGCCTCAGTTTCCCTACGTGTAAAGTGAGAGGAATTAATGAATTCCCCACCGGTACCTGCCGGTGGACATTTCTCTCAGGGTCCAGAATAGACACTATCAGCAGTGAAGAAATTAATCTGAGGGTTATCAAAAGAATCGAAGCACAGTGAGCTCTTTAGGCCATTCCCTTTATTCTTCTAAGTCGATTCCATCTGCACAGCTTCTTTTCTGTCCTCATACTTAGCTCCTCTCTGTCCCTTCTTCTGTTGTTCTCTCATCGTTCCCTCTGTCCCTGAACTTTCCAGTATATATTCACATACAGTCAGCAATCCTCCGGCTGCACTGTTTTCTGGTAGGGTGGGGGAACTTCACTGGGTTGCTAGGCAACCTGCATCACAATGTGTAGTATTTGGTTAGTAAAAGCACTTTTGCTCTGAGTTAATTGCACAAAGGGGAATCTTAAGAACCAGGAATAGCACCTGGGTTGAGATAAAGGAGGGAGGGTAAAAGCTTAATTTGCACAAGAAACGAAGCTTGGCACCTGTCCTCCGCCTGCCCGGCCTTGTCTGCCCGGCCTTGTCTGTTGTCTCCTTGGGTCAGTAGGAATGTTTACCTTATGTCAGTAACTAGCAGATGGCCAAAACACCATCCCAGAATTGTAAGCAGTAAATCTCTTGAATTAGGGTCTTGTGGAAATAAACTGGGGTGGAGGTAAGGAGTTAAGGATTTAATTGTTAGTGGTTATTTTCTCTTATCTATAGGTGAGATGAACTAATGCATATCTATCTACAGTCTGTCCTATCTCAGATGAAATACTTTTTTTTGGTCCGGAGAATGGCCCTGGCCAGATGTTTGCTAATGAAGAATAAACACAGCTGGGGAATGTTGTCCAAAACACCCCAAATGTGTAGGGGAAGTTGTGCCCAATAAATGATCAGTCACACTGTTAGAAGTTCTTGGGAGAGGAAACAAATGGGAAAGCTACAATAGCACACAAGAAATTCACTGCAGGAACAGCTGATACATTAAAAAGCCAGTATTGCCGGATGGTGGCGGTGGCGCACACCTTTTTTTTTTTTTTTTTTTTTTTTTACCGAATACCAAATGCCTTTTATTGAAAGAGGGAGGAAACCTTAAATACAGGCTTACAGCACAATGGAGGATCCCCAGAGGGCAGAAGTTTGCTACCCAATGTTCTATATGCTGACATCTAAGCTGTTTACACCAAATGCAGGATACACGAACAACGAACCTGGTGATCGTTCAGTAAGAAGGAAACCAGGAGGGAATCAGCATAGGGAGGACATCTGGTCAAGGTTGGCAAGCAAGTCAAATTGGGGGGGGGGCCGGGGCCCACAGGTCCCCCCTTTTTACTAAAAAATGAGCTTCTGACTTAGGTTGCATGGGACGTCAGCAGGTCACCTTACCCGTCATGGAGACACCTGCCCAGGCCACACAGGTGCTCTGGCTTAGGTTGATGACCACCCCCAGGCATTACCTGTCTCTGAATACTCATTATCATACAGACTCAACCACATGAGCTGTAGAGTAACTGCTGCCAAAGATCTCAAAGTGGTGCTGAGCTTGCAATCTGTGAAACACAGAAAAGACCAACAGAAGTCCTAACCCACCCATAAGCCAGTAGGCTAAAGGCAATTGAGCCATTCTCTTCCTTAATGAGCCTTACTGCAAATTGGAGTCCTTATAAGGTGGTATCCCATGGGCAAGTGGAACTTGAATTTTATAAATTTTACAACTTTCAAAGGTGGTGCACACCTTTAATCCCAGCACTCGGGAGGCAAAGCCAGGCGGATCTCTGTGAGTTTGAGGCCAGCCTGGTCTACAGAGTGAGTTCCAGGGCAGGCACCAAAACCACGCAGAGAAACCCTGTCTGGAAAACAGCCAGTCTCACCAATATGCTGTGAGTTTCGGCTTTATCCTCTGGAAAAGCCCTTGGCTCTTCCAAGTATAAGCTTTGCCATAGTCAGCCGAATTCCTGCTTCATATTTCTGTGGCTCGCAGCAAGGAATAAAGTGACCTCTAGGGATCTAGGGAGATAAGAGAAGACTGTTAGTCCCCAGAGCAGTCAAGGGGCAGACACAGGGGACCTGGCTTCTAGGAGACAGTGTATGGAAAGCCTGTGTCATAGTGCCTAGCACATGTAAAGTGATTGACAGACATTTCTTGTTAGTGTGGATGTTAATATTTGCATGCGCCGGTGTCCACGTTCTGAATGGTGTACACCCTTTGATGGGGGAAATGTAAAGCATTGCTTGATGCCCTTTAGGTCGTCCCATCCATCACTGGATACCTGCTCAGTACCGGGCCGGATTGGAAGCTCTTGTTTTGGTCTCTCCGACGTAACTGTAGGCCCTACAGGCCAAACTCTGTCCACATGTTAGGTGTTAGTGCAGCGATGTCTAACTAGAGATGATGCCCTCTCCAAGAGTGGTCCCCTGTGGCAGGCACTATGTGGAGTGCCTTGTGTTTATACAGCATCTTACTTCATCTTCTCGAAGGTGCCTATCCGCTTTCTAAGAAAAGATGTGATACCCAGTCTCTTCCCTCAGAATGCACAAGCAAGCAAGTGGCCGGTCCCTAAACTCCGGAGGAGCTCAGTCCCCTTGCCAAAGGCATCTGTATCTGTTCTTCCCTTGTCTGTTGGCCCTTAAACGTGGCTGGACTGTAGCCTGCCTCTAGATGGATGGCCCCTGAAGACCTGGCCTTCGTCTCTCCCTGGGCACTGACTTGGAAGTCTCGGGTTTTGTGGGATGTTTTCTCTTTCGTGAGAGCTTCCCAATAGACTTCAGCAAGTCTCCAGGGAGAAGGCCCTAACGACTGACTTTTTTCCTCAGGTCGAGTTTTGAGGAGACTGAAGCCCTGGTGAATGCTGCAACCAAACTCCAGCACCCTGTCACACGCGGGCTGGCCTCCAGCCAGGAGCCTCTCTTGCAGGTGCCAGAGAAATCCTCCCAGAAGGAGCTGGAAGCTATGGCCTTGGGCACCCCCGCAGAGGCGATTGAAATTGTAAGTGTTGCCTGAGGGACTCTGTGAGTGAGCCCTCTAGTGCTGCCATTCTTCACCTGGCTGTGGGGCCCCACCCTGGCCCCTAGACCACAGCAGTCAGCCTAGGAGACCCTGCCTCTCACAGCGAGGGAAGGGCCTTCCTTTCTCCCACGATGGCTGTACAGTTAGTTAGTTCTCAGTCAAGTGCTTGATACGCTCGGGCTTGTTTTCCATTCTTCTCTCCCTGGACTGGCGGACAAGCTGGAGCCGTGGTCAGCCAGCCCCTGCCTCTCTAGCCTGTATGGCAAAACAAAGATGGGGAGGGGAGGGAACATCCTCCTTTGGGGGACCAGCTATGTTTCTCTTGGGTCTCAGTGACAGGAGATTTTCCTTGCTCATGGTCCCGGACTTCAACTTACCCTCTCCCAAGACCTCCAGAAGCCTTGCAGGACCCGTAGCCCTGAGATGAGGCCTCATTGTCCCCACTCCCTACATGTTGCGTGTGCTCGCCCTAGAGGGTGTAATATCCACGGGAGGGTCTTCCACATGTCTTAAACAAACCAGCTTGGGTCAATTATATATATTTTTTTCACCTCCCTCCTAGCAGTCATCATACAGTTTGAAACTGTTTGATTTGGTGTGTTGCTTTTGCTCTCTATCAGGCAGTTTGATCTGTCTCATGCTACGGACATTTGCAGGGCACCTGCTGTATATGCGGCAGTTGGATGCCGGGTTGGATACTGGAAACACAATTAGTGAACAATAAAAGGGTCTAGATGTGAGTCGGTCTTGCATATAAATACTGTGGCAGGCTTGGCCATGGTTCATCTCCTGCAAAGTTGCCTTCTAATTTGGAAGTCTTTCTAATCTAGGAGGAGTTACCTGTTTGTTTGAAATCGTCTTTTCACTATTGAAAACGGTCCTCACTCAAACCTTACTTTCCTTGATATTTGTCCTTGGTGCTGTTTCTTTGATGAACTATGTTGGCGTTTGAAAACCCATCAACTAGCTTGCCTCCCACCCATGGAGATTTTCAAAGAACAAAGCAGTGGTTATGTGGCTTCCGCTGCTCTGGCTAGGAAACCAGGGTGACATGGGCCTGGGGAGGGAGGGCTCCTGAGGCCCTGCTTCTGGGAGAAGGGGCGGGGCCTGCCAGTCTCAGTCCCAATGGCAGTGTGAATATCGACCACTGAGTGATGTTCTCTTTAGCCTTAATGCAGCAATGTGCAGTGTATGTTTGTGCGGTCCTTGCTTGAAATCAATATCTTTCTACTCTCCTCTATTTTCCATTTTCCTCTCGGCCGGCCTTCAGACAGCTCCGGAGGGTGCCTTTGCCTCTGCGGATGCCCTCCTCAGCAGGCTGGCCCATCCTGCTTCTCTCTGTGGTGCACTTGACTATCTGGAGCCTGACTTAGCAGAAAAGAACCCCCCAGTATTTGCTCAGAAACTTCAGGTTTCTGTGTGACCTTTCGGGAGTTTGTCCAAACCTCAGTAGAAAATGAACCCCTGAGCCAAATTGAGCTGAGGCAGTACTTAATGAGGCAATACTGGGAATGTTCCAGATGAAGTGTTTTCCTCTCAGACACTGATATCTGTGTATGCTATAGCCAGGGTGCAGAATTAGATAAATTGTGTGATTACGTACCGAAAGGACTCTTTTTATTTGTATTGGGAAGTTGGTTCCAAGAGTCATTTTCCTGATGTATTTATTGATAACCCCACAGGCAGTTTATGATTTACTCACTAAACAAAAGGTATCAGGTCAAGCCAAGCTGTTTAAATACGTAAAACAATCCCAAATTCCCATTGAGGTAACATCTGGAACCAAAACGTATCTCTGTAGCGGAAATTTGACAGCTTAATTTGCTATTCCCTGGACTAGGAAGCAAGGCCGACCTAGAGAGATTATTAACAGGCATCTGAGAGATGCATGGCCATTGACAGCAAGCGCTGGTCAACTTTTTAAAAACAAGGAAAGAAAGCAAGAAATACTGTAGAGTTAAAATTGCCGTCCTGTTTTGAAAATCAGTTCACATTTGACTGCATGATATTTCTTGACAGACCTTCAAAGGGGTAATTTTTTTTTTCAAAAAGGAAATTAACCCCCCCTGTTTCATGATCTGCTGAGGTGTTGGTTGTGAGAGAAAGCTGAGCGTATGTTTTCCCACAAACACCTGTCATATGCATTTATGTGGCACATTCATTCCTGGATGTGGAAACCTTCTGTCTGTCTTGATGCATTTCCCTACGGTTTGCTCACCCCTACCCCTCGGGCAGGAGGAGTTAGAGTTTGCCATCATGCGGATAGAAGCCCTGAAGCTGGCCAGGCAGATCGCCCTGGCTTCCCGCAGCCGCCAGGACACTAAGGTACCCGTTTGCCGCTGCGGTGCACTGCCTTCTGGGAATGCTGTGTGTGCCACGGGGTCCCAGGGCTGCTTTGCTAACCACTGGCCAGGCCGGCACTGTGGGTGTCCCGTGAAGTGTGATTTCTCCGAAGCTAAAAGTATAACTCTTACACAAACACACACCGAGCACATGTGTAGGGATGAGGTCATGCAGCCAGGCAGAGGGGAGTGTGAAAAGCCAGTATAGAGCACAGGGGATAAAAAAGGCTTTGAGTGAGGTAATAGACTAGCTATATGTAAAACTGGTTAGTACTGGTTCACTAGGACCAGAAGAGAATCCCCCTTGGAGTTACCTTTTCCTGTAGATACCCTTTGTCTCTCTATGGGTTAAAGTAATTTGTAACGTTTCTGTTTTCTGGAAGTTTATATCTGACTTTACTGAGAGTCAATAATAAGTAGGAGGTGAGAACAAGACTTGCTTCAAGACATGGGATGATCTAGGTGAGGACAAAGAGACACAGCAATAAGACGTGATAAAAAATAAGTAATAAGACACATTGATAAGACGTTTGGAGTCTTCCCGCCTGGCCTCTAGGCTTAGAGTAATAATTCTTAACAGTATGGTGATGACATGTAGGTGGCATCTCACCCTCAAGCTGCCCGTGAGCTGTGGCCTCAGTCCCATTCCCTCCCCCTCCCAGAGTTGGGCAGCTCAGTGAACTTGGCGTGTTGGACCAGGGCTGACCCCCACTTTGTTTTGTAGTCTGAGCCTTGAACGAGCTCATGAACCTTGCTGAGCCTCACTCAGTTCCTCCGTCTCTGAGATGAGGCTGGTTTGCCTGTGGTGGAGAAGGCCATGCTTGTGGACAGCAGTAGCCTTGCGCCGCACACCTAACGTATACTGGTATGCAGTTAGCCAAAGGGGCTGCTGTTAGCTAGCATTTTGCTTTTGTTTATCACCTGGATATTCCACAGCGCCTCTCCTGGGAAAGCAGAGCTAAGTCTCGCTTTACAGACTGAGAATCAGGGCCGCATATCCAGAGTTCGCCAGCCTGTGGGGCCTTGAACTGGGGTCACCAATGGACCTGCCTGTTCAGCTCCACTTCACAGACTAGGTCATTTGCGGAGGACCTCCCAGGTGTGGAATAGGAACAGAAATCCCAAGAGCCCACTCATGGCTCACTCTAGCTAGAGCCCAAATCAGGTCCCCTCCTGGAGACAGGAAGTGGCCCTAGTGTGAATGTCCAGACTAAGAAGAGTGGAACACAGGTCAAGGATAAGAAACAAAACTCAGAGATGTCTTTGTTCTTATTGCCAAAGTATAAACTTGAGCTGAATTGCCATGAAAGGGAGGTTTCCAGAAAGCACCAAGCCCCGAAGACCCTGTTCCCTACCCACCCCCACAACCCACCTCTGCCAGACTGATTTCTTAAATCTTTGCAGAGTAACTTTAAGATAGAGCGAATTGCCTAAAATTTGACCATTGTGGGGGCTCGAGAGATAGCTCAGCCGCGGGAGTACTGGCTTTTCTTCCAGAGGACCCAGGGTTCAATTCCCAGCAACCGCATGGCCCCTCTCTGCCTCCGTAACTATGAGTATGCAGATAGAATACAGTGGCTGTGGGTCCAGATGCCCTTTCTGCCCCAGAGTCTCAGACGTGAGTGATGCAGTCCCATTTTCCATCAATCACTCCAAGTCTGAGACCAGCCTGGTCTACAGAGTGAGTTCCAGGACAGTCAGGGCTACACAGAGAAACCCTGTCTAAAAAAAAAAAAAAATACTTAGGAGGGATATAACTTTGAAGGAATGAAAATTCAGAGCAGCTTTGAAGTGGATGTTGCTAGGTCCGCCTCCACAGAACTGCAGCAAGAACCTCTGTGTCCTCCTGTTCAGAATCAGTTAGAAACGGGGTAACATTCCTAGGAACTAGGGCTCTGGTGTTGGGCTGTGGCTTGCTTTCTTTTTAGTTTTTAATTTTTTTTTTTTTTATCATTTTTAAAACATTCTTGGAGAATGTCATATGTGCATACAATGTATTTTGATCATGTTCACCCTTCTAATCCCTCCTGGTTTACCCCTTCCCAAAGTCACGTTCACACACCTTCTCCCACTTTATAATTGTGGAAAAAAAATTTTTTTTCATACAGTAACTTCCCCCTCCCACTTCCTCCGGGCTGTGGCTTTCTTATTCTGTTTCTCCCACTTGCTTCTGCTGGAGCTGAGTTCCATTAGTCCCCCAAGGATCAATACATTATGCAGCAGCCCTGAGGTCCATACTCAGAAGTTCTTTCTCTGGCCTTCCAAGGTATGGGTAGCAGGGTGTGTTGGCACATTTTGCATGCATGACAAACTGATCGTGATGGCTAGACCTGTTGGCCTTTATTGATAAGGGGGCCCCCAAGACGAAGATGGAAGACGGGAAGATGTGTTCAGGCAACCTAGGAACGTGATCATACAAATAGCAAACTTTAGGTTGGGAACGGTTCCCGCACGGAGGGCAATCCTGTGCCCTGTGCCTCAAGAGACCTGGCTTAGATGAGCAGGTGACCAGGGTTGACGTGAGCTGGAACAAGAGTCGGGTTGGGATTGCGTTTATTGTTGTCCAGCAGTGCGGCATCTCGGCAGGGACAGTGTACTGTGGACAAGGAGCCCAGCATCTCTCATCTGCTCCTTCCTCTCACAAAAGTCACTCCTTCCCTCCACCACGAGGCACGTCCCTGGAAGCCACAAGAGCAGTCTGAAGACGAGTGACAGAGGACTAGTTGGTGGGCTTCGGTTTGCTCTCCAGCTTCCGAATCTGTGGTTGTAGCCTATACTTTAGCCTCGGTGGCTGATTCTTGACTTGGTGGGCTGGCACAGCTGGATGAGGTCTGGTTATGATGGCTGCCATGGAGTGGGACTGAGGTGTGGGGCCAAGTGTCTCACCTGTGCTTGCAGCTCCCGGGCTGGGGAACTGTCTGCTGTCAGATTGGGATGGATAGCATCTAGCCAAGGTCCTTCTCCTGCCTGGTTGGTGCCACGTGGCCCTGATACCTCCTGAGACCTCAAGCTTTAGCTTGGTTTTCCTGGTCCCTGGCCTCACCTGTGTGGCCCTTCCTCATGGCTTCCCAAGCCTCAGATTTGAGTTTGCTACTGACTGCCGTGGGGACAGTCATCTGCCATGATCATGATGTCCCGGCCCCAAACCCTAAGGCCTAGCAATAAGAAAAGGTCACAGAGAGAACCATGAGCCTGGGTACATGATGGGACTCCTGCCTTCAAGGCCAGCAGGAGGCCGGTGGCCCAGGAATCTGAAAGGGAGATAGTGACCTGAAGGACGGCACAGTTTCCAGGACTGAAGACAGCGTGAAGGATTGAAGGTGGCAGCCAAGATCTGCCTTTGGAATTGTGACCGTGCCACAGTTTAGTAAGAAGGATTCTGGTGGCTTTTCGGGCTGCGTGAAGCAGCAGGTTTAAGTGCGAGAGATATGAAGCTGGGCATAAAAATAACTGACCTTAAAATATTAGTGAGAGACAGGTCTTTGATTTCCCTTGAAAACATTCATGGCTGAAAGGAAGAACCAAGGTGTAAGTCCTGAATTCATTATCCCACAGATAACTGGAGGGGGCAGGGAGTCAAAGTGGTCCTGAAACTGTTCATTCCCCGACTGAAAATGCCACGTGGTTGTGGCTGAAGGATGACACCCAGGGTCGGATGCCTTTGCATCCATTTAGGTATCTCTGTGTTTATTTTTTTCATCCCGTCCTTGTTTTACAAAGGACACCAGGCAGATCGGCCATCTCTAATGTGTTCCTTGGTCAGATTTAGCTCCTGCCCTGCATGATGCAAAATTCATTTTCATTATTAAATTATTTTTCTCTTGCACTGCAAGGAGCTGCTTTACTTTGAGGCAGAATAATCTCATTTGGGAAAACCTTTAGGCCCAGCCTCGCACATCCTGCATCCGTCTTCAGAAGTTTCAAACTGAGTTTAGCAGCTCCAACATCCCGTTCATTTTGAAATTTTATTTTTTTCTCAGATTTTTAAAAATTTACTTTATGTGTGTGGGTGTTTTACCTGCATGCATGTATGTATGTACACCATGTGTGTACCCTGGTGCCCACAGGGGCCAGAGAGGGTGTCAGATCCTCTGGGACTGGAATTACAAAGTGAGCCAACATATGGGTGCTAGGAGGAGAACCTGAGTCCTCTGGAAGAGCAGCTAGTGCTCCTAACCACTGAGCCATCTCTTCAGCACCCGCCCACCCCCCATTTTTTAAAGAGCACACTTAAAAGTGAAAAGAATAGGGTTTGTTGTTGTTTTCCCTTTTTAAGTTCTCTTCATAATTTTGTGTTTGTGAGCTTTTCTAATTACAACTGTTGAGTGGTGATTTCCGGCTGTGATTTTCCAGTTACCACTGGAACATTTCCTTCAGAGAAGTAGCATTGTGCAAACTATTGCCCTTCATGCAGATCCTCTGCCCTGCCGCCTAGGGGCATTTTCTCTCCCGAGGGATCCGGCTGTCTGCTGCTAGGGGCTGGCAGCTTGTGTCTAGGTAGATGTCCTAGAAACAGACTTCCCCGGGACCAAAAACTGAGAAGGACATTCATGGCATCCCATCTGACATATAAGCGTAGACTCTGTTCTGGTTGACCCGGTCTGTGTGCTCCGGGTTCTCACAGCTGATCACGTGACTCTCTTGAAAGTAAGCCCAGGCATTTCAGGGCAGGCATGACCAGTGAGATTCAGGTGATCCACGAGTGCCATCTGAGGGTAAGCCCAAAGTCTTGAGGGTAGGCCGGGTCAATGAGTCACTTGAGGGTTAGTCAAGAGGACTTACGGGCAGGCAGGGACAGTGAGCAGGTCACAGCAGTTTTCTTCCAGGACAACTAAACTATTGTGTGCACCTTGCATGTGGACACTAATGGTCCTAAATCGTCACCTCCAGTCCTATCCATTGCTCTCCCACCTGCATTTTCTACCTCCCTTCTTTAGACCCTTAGCCCTGGCACTACAGTGAGGAGAGGTAGGGCTCGCAATTCCTGTGTTTATAAACATTCTGCTCCTGGGCCTTCAGCGCCACCCCTTCCCACCACCACTGATGCTTCCCTTTTATCTGTGTAGTTCTCAATCCGCACCCTCCTGTCTCCTCTCCCCTTTCTATAAAACGGAGGGGTCTGTTCAGTGCTCGGTTTGTTCTCCTAATTCTCCTAGGATGGAGCAGTCCACTCCGCCCTCCGGGCCACCATCACCTACCTCACACTGCAGCACCGACCTATACTCTAACTAGGCTGGAAGCTTCCTTGGCAGCCATGACCGCACCCAGGAGGTTAATGCATAGGACTGAGAGTGCTTGGTTGGATGTTTTTGTTGCCGTGGAAATAGGCTGACAAGCCTGGCCGTGCTGGTTGACATTGCTCCTAACACTGTGTTTCAACTGTGTTGCAAGCTGCTTAACGTTCTACGTAAAGGAAGAATAGCCATGCACCCCTCCTCGCCTCGCTGCGGCTGGTGCCTGGACCCTACAGAACTTGAGAAAGCCGCAAATGGTTTTCAGTTGGGTCGGGCAGGACATCACCTTGCTTGCTTGTAGGCTTCATCAGGAAATGTAGAAAGATAATTGTCGTTGACCCCAGCTTTCCTCTTCACTGTTATACAGCAGACCTAATGGCACCATCTCTCAAGCCCAGACAGAATAAGGTGGACAATAGCAGGTCTCGCATTTTGTGCAGATTCACATCTTTTTCAGCTGGGCCACGTGAGCACCGCCAAATTTAAATGTGTTCAAAAATGATCTAATCTTCAGCTGTTCAAAACTAGGCAACGTAGACCAGCATTCAGAATCAGTCCCCAGCAACACTTGATTTTGGAAGTGGAGCCAACAGAATAATGACCTGTCTTGACTTACAGTGCCTCGCTGGCTCAGCCTCTGATAAATGGCAGTGATAAGCAGGCTGCAGGCAGGTGAGCCCCCAGGGTTCCTAGTTACAGAGGCTGCCATCTCATCAGCCCCTTTGTGTGCCTGAACGTGTACAACATGAAGGCTTTCCATCCCCTGGACCTGGCATTACTCCATCCATGAGTCCTTGCATTATCTCGTATTTTCAGTGTTCTTTGTTTCAAAACCATGCAGCTGAGCGGGTGAATGCGGTTCGCAAGGCCATGCCTGCAACCCTGTCTGTCATGCCATTAGTGGTGACTGTTCTGTTTCTTTCTCTCTCTAATGAAAACAACATCCACAGAGGGAAGCTGCTCATCCAGCAGACGTCTCCATCTCCAAAACTGCCTTGTACTCCCGCATCGGGCCCACCGAGGTGGAGAAACCCCCTGGCCTTCTGTTCCAGCAGCCAGACCTGGACTCTGCACTCCAAGTGGCCAGAGCAGAGGTATGAGACCTGTGGTGTCAAGGGCCATATTCTTGACCCCGGGATAGGGTCCGAGTCTGCCAGTTGTCAGCAACCATATTTACCCATGATGCTGCTTTTTGGAGACAGACTGTCCTCGAAACACTGCAAGCTAGCTGGGTGGCACACCATGGCTTTTGATCTGTCTAGTTTCCATGCTAACGGGCATGGCTGACATGCTGTAGAAGACACGTTACTCCCCTGGGGGCCTCAGGGAAAGTCTTTATTTCTCCTGCTTGGAGAATTCTCTGGATGGAATCCTGGTTTTGTGTGAGAAGTTTTCATCCCATGTGTATGTGATGTGTCCTGGCTTTGGTGAGAACTGAATGCTTCCTCCTCTCCCCGACTCTAGGTTATCTCCAAGGAGAGAGAAGTCTCAGAGTGGAGGGACAAATACGAAGAGAGCAGGCGGGAAGTGATGGAAATGAGGTCAGTGGGGCTCAGCATTCCGGCTGCCCAGACGCCGCCGTCTGTGGCTTCCTGGCAGTTCATGCTGAGGTGCCCTCACCCCCAGCAGGGTCTTCTGTAGAAGATGTTCATTCTTCATTAGTATTCAAGGCTCATATTTTTACATGGGAGTTTTTAAGAGATTTTCTTTTTAATTTAAAAAAAAAAAATTTAAGACAAGGTTTCTCTGTGTAACAGTCCTAGCTGTTCTGGAACTCACTCTTTAGACCAGGCTGACCTCGAACTCATAGAGATCTGTGTGCACCACCACTACCCGGCTCATTATTCTTAATTATATGTGGAGTTTGTGTATATGAATGCAGGTACCCTTGGAAGCCAGAGGCATCAAATTCCCCCAAAGTTGGAGCATGGCTGAGAACCACCCAACATGGGTTCTAGAAACTGAACTTGGGTCTTCTGGAACAAGTGTTTTTAGACTAACACTATGCACTAGATAGAGAGTCCAGTCCGATGAAGGTGTAGACAGTAAAAGTGCCTCCCCCAACTCCAGTCAGCTTGCATTCCTGTGTACATTTCCAGCAGCAAGCAAAACACCTAGATCAGTGGTTCTCAAACTTCCTAATGCTGCAACCCTTTAATACAGCTCCTCATGTTGGGGTGACCCCCAACCATAAAATTATTTCATTGCTTCTTTATAACTGTAACTTGGCTGTTATAAATCATAATGTAAGTATCTGATATGCCATCCCCAAATGGGTTGTGGCCCACAGGTTGAGAACCACTAACCTAGATGCTGACAGCCACCATCACATCTTCCTGAAACCTCATTCTCGTTCTGTTTCCCGCTGCTTCCGGCTGCCGCTCTCCTGAGGACACCAGTGGGCAGGCAAACCCTGCGTCCTGAGAGAACTGCTCTTGTAGAGGGCTGCTTGACACCCGGCTGTTTTCATCTGGGGAGGATGCCAGGCAGTGGGGATGCACTCCTTTAATCCCAGCACTCAGGAGGCAGAGGCAGGCAGATCTCTGTGAGTTCAGGGCTAGCCTGGTCTATATAATGCGTTCCAGACCAGCCAAGGTTATAATGAGACCCGGTCTCACCAACCCACCCTTTAAAAAAATAATTTTTTTTTTTTTTTAGTTTAAAAGTGCAAGGGACCTTGGGCAGTGGTGGCACATGCCTTTAATCCCAGCACTTGGGAGGCAGAGCTAGGCAGATCTCTGTGAGTTCGAGACCAGCCTGGTCTACAGAGCGAGATCCAGGACAGGCACCAAAACTACACAGAGAAACCCTGTCTTGAAAAACCAAAAAAAATTAAAATAATAAAAATAAAAATGCAAGGGAATAAGAAGTAGCATCTTATATACTTTGAAGAGCATCCACTCCATCAGAGGAGACGATACAGAGAATGTTGGGGAACTCCAAGAGAAATCAGGAAAGGCTTCCTGGAGAAGAGAACATTTGACTTAGACCTTGAGAAGCAGATTCTGTGAGGTAGAAATAGGAGGAAGTAAACAAACAACCTGGGTACACCTGGGATGAGAAAGCCTAGTTCAAGGAAGAAATGTCTGTCCATGTTGAGCCGCTGTGTCCACCAGCTGGTGGTAAGCTGGTGGAGGTGGCGAGACCTGGGTGTGGAAGACTTCAGCCATCAGGTGGCAGATCTGGCCTTTTGTTTCCTGTAGTGAACAGTGGAGGTGTTGCAGGGTTGGACGGTGCACTGGACTGAGGGTTGTATGCCAGGAAACCAAACTTGCTGATGAGTATAAGGACGCGTACAGAGCGTGCGAGCCTTACACTGCCCAGCGGTGGGGTGGAGATTTAGCACGATCCCGTTACTAGCATGCCTCTGCCTTTCTTCCAGGAAAATCGTGGCTGAATATGAGAAGACCATCGCCCAGATGATCGGTGGGTGTCATGACTGGAGTGCTCAGGCCCAAACTATAGGGAGGGGGAGTGTAATTGGGGTGGGGGTTGGGTGACAAGGCTCTGAGCCATGTTCCTTTAAGAGCAGGGACCAGAGCAGCTGTACTTGTGGCTGTAGCCTGGAGATACCCCTAGGAATATACTTCACACTATCCAGTGTCTCCTGAGCCCTCATTTGCCCAGCCAGGGGTGATCCACCATGTTGGGAAGGAGTCTCGGTTTGGCCACTGGGATGTGTAGGGGTTTGGGATTTTGCTTTTAGAAAAGCATAGAATTAAAACCCCTAAACCCTGATTTAGTTTGGAGTCTAATATCTAAGTACCCATATGCTTTAACCAGTGGACTTAGAACCAGGATGCAATCTGTGGCATTTCCCTACCCGATACCCTTCCTCTGTGGCTGGCAGACCCTGTTAGCAAAGAAAGAAGGCCCCACATTAGCAAGTGACACACAATGACCGACCTTCCTTCCTTCCTTCCTTCCTTCCTTCCTTCCTTCCTTCCTTCCTTCCTTCCTTCCTTCCTTCCTCCCTCCCCATCCTCTCTCTCTAAAATGAAAATCAGTCTTGGAGACATTCCAGAGTCCAGTTTTTTATAGTAATAGTCTTGGGGAACTGGTATTTATTGATTTATGTCATGCTATCCGTTTACTTGATTAGATTCATGATAATCAGTTTTTAAAAATAATTTTACCCACCTAAGGATTTGTGAGGTAAACCTGCAAATCACTGCAAACCGAGTGCTCTGGCTGGATGTGCATGAGCAGGTCCCCTAGGAGACCCCTTAGCAAATGTTGGGCTTTTTGAGTTCCACCCATCTGTGGTTTATCCCAAGATAAACAGCACAGTAGCCTTTGAAGTAGCAAGAAGGCCAATTTTTGAATGGCTTACTCTCTCAGGAGTGTTAATTGTGGCTTAAGTTAATCAAGGCTTTCACCCGGAGCCCGTCCGTCCCCTCAGGCACATTCAGCCACATTGATCCCATGGTGGATGCATCGTCACAGAGCTTAGTGATGAGATAAGAACTTTAAAACTCTGGGAATTGTAAGTGCCAGCCAAAGCACTGGAGAAGAGGTGTGCTTATCTCTCAGTCTGGAAAGGGTTGCCAGACCTTTGGGCTCCTGGTGTCTTGGGGTGTGAGTGTCCTTGAGATGACCCGTCAGATGCAGGTGTGGTGTTGAGGGGGAAAGGTGTGAGCTTTGGCTCCCGAGGGAATGCTGCCACAGCCGGCTTGTAGCACACAGCTAGGGACTTTGAGAGAAGCAGGAGTCCGCCCTGGAGGGCTCCAAGCATGAGGGGCTTCTCTGGTGGATCTCTCAGGGTAGCCTGCCGTTATGGTCATAAAGATGACTAGATGCCGAGGCCTGCTTCTCGGATAAATTGTAGCTGATAGAAGTTAGAACATTTTGGTCTTTGACAACCAGAGGAGTGGGTATCAGAGGCAGGTGTGTTTCCTATTTAGACTCTTGGAACAGTTCCCTGTTCTCAAGAGAACCCCCAGAATGGCTCAGTGAGACTACTGCAACATCCCCAGCTGGGAGCGTCCTCACTCAGTTAACAGCCCTACTGTGTGGGGAGTCACTAGCCTTCCGCACCAGCCTCTTCCTTGTCCACTTTTCCAAAGCTTTTCTAATCCAGGAAAATTGTATGTCAGTTGCTATGGAAGGTGACTGGGTGGTGAGACCCCAATATTTCAGGGTCCACAAAGACAGCCTGTGACATGACTGGCAAGGTGGGTGGACCTGCCTGCCTTCGAGGAAAGTGAACCCCTTCACTTACAGAAACCCACCCATGGGCCTCATCTGGATCCCATGTCTCCATCCCATTTTCATTCCACCTGCCCAGCAAGGAGAACTTGGGCCTGCGAGCTTGGCAGCTCAGGGCCAGGATGAATGTAGACGTGTTCCGAAGTAGACCCTGGTTCTTCTGAGCCATGCCCGCCCTCCTCCCATGTAGCTTTCGGATGCCCCACACCTCATCCCTCCTCACCAGCTCCTCTGAAGGAAGTGTGCCTTTTTAAAACTCCTTGGAATTTAGGACAAAAAGGAACCTCTGTGCTTTCTGCATTCCAGATTGTTGCAAATTTTTTTTTTGTTTGTTTGTTTCTGCTTTCCTAACAACTGCCCTGATTATCTGTTTTGCTTCCATTTTCTGTTGCTTCTTGCCCTTTGCTTGCAAAACAAACAGGCAAGCCTGGTAAGTAAATGCTCCCCACCCCCACCCCCACCCTCGCCCCTTCTGATCCCTGCCCATTGCAACCTCCCTTGTGTTTTGTTTTTCTGGTTTGGTTCTTTTTGCTTTTGTGTACTGGCTGCATTCCCCACCCGGTTTAATAGTGGTCTGCCGGCGAGCGCCAGAAAACTGTATCAGGGTTGAGAGTGCAGCGTGTCTTGGGCTGACCCTGATTTCCTGACTTTAAGAGCCTAACTTCCTTGGTCACACAGAAGATGTGTGCCGCATTGCCTCTGCCTCGCTCCTGGGGACTGGGCAGTTCTATTTTTAACAGTGACGAAAGGAAAGCTGAGGCTAGGCGACATCTTAGATGCAGGAAATCAGATGGACTCTGTTTGAGAAATGGCTCCTTCAGCCTGTCTGGTGAAATGTATACGTGGCCGCCATTCAGCTCAGAATGTACACCATATGGCATGCTGGGAATAAAGGAAAGGGCTAAAACCTGGGTAATAAAAACTAGTGAAACTTGAAAATGCTCTCTGTCTCTTAGGAGTGTAGATGTAGGAAGTAGATTACTTGTAGTAGAAAGTTCTATGTTTAAAAGGCGGTACTTCCCAAGTCATTGTGACACACTGTCCCACCGAGTCAGGGGGATGTTCAGAGCTTCTAGGGACAGTGGTGCTGTTGATAACAGGTCGCTGATTGCCCAGATGGTGCCTGGGTGCCAATACCTTTGTCTTTTTTAGTCTCTCCAACTGCTATGGCTTAGAAACATTGCCATCCCCTGGTTCTGGTGAGGAGACTCAGTGAGTTTGAGAGCCCTGCCCAAGGTCACATAGCAGAAAATTATCAGAGTTGAGGTTCACATTGGTCTGTTAGATTTCAGAGTCACTGCACTTGATGGTTTCTGGCTGCTGCAGAGAATACTAGGAATCCTGGGATCCCAGAGGTGGGATGGAGGGACATTAGGTATCTCCTAGGCCCGTGGTTTTCCAGGCAGGGCTCTGGGCCAGCTACATCTGAATCTCTTATTACTTGTGCAGATCCCCAGGCCCACTCTGACCTGCTAAGTCAAACAGCAGGATGAACATGTCTGTTTGAATGGCCCTCCTGCTGGTTCGAATGCATGCTCACTTCTGACAGCCCCCTTGATTTGTAGACAAGGCTTTGGAACCATAAAATAACAGGGCTTTTCAACGTGTTTCTCTCCAGCTTGGAGATAAAATTCAGGCTGTGGGGTTGGGGATTTAGCTCAGTGGTAGAGCGCTTGCCTAGCAAGTGCAAGGCCCTGGGTTCGATCCTCAGCTCAAAAAAAAAATTCAGGCTGTGACCCCATCATGCCACACAGCAGTACCATGCCAAGCTTAAGACACAGCAAGATGCCAGTCTGTCAGAAATGGAATGAAAAATAGCCCAAATCCAAACTTCCTGCTGTTCCTGATGGGAACCGTCCAGGTCCATTATTGTAGGAGGGAACAGTCAAGGTCCATCATTGCAGGAGGGAACCGTCCAGGTCCATCATTGCAGGAGGGAACCGTCCTGGTCCATCATTGTAGGAGGGAACAGTCCGGGTCCATCATTGCGGGAGGGAACCATCCGGGTCCATCATTGCGGGAGGGAACCGTCCGGGTCCATCATTGCAGGAGGGAACCATCCAGGTCCATTGTTGCAGGAGGCTTGGATGGAGTTTAGTCATGGCTGTGCTTTTGTCTTTGGATCTGAGTCTGGGCTGTGCTGCTCCCTCAGTGAACAAATGACTTTGCTGTTCACCTTCCCCTTCTGTAAGATAGGGACAAGAAAACCTCGTACGGGTCACTGTGTGGCCGCCCTTGTCTGTGCACTGCATGGATCACGTAGCAGCATCACTTGTATGGAGGTGTTTTGTGTGCCCAGAGCAGTGAACCAAACAGACCTACTGTCAGCCCCTGAGGAGAGTGGCCAGGTTGCTTTTCCCAGACCCCTAACAGGCTCAACTGAAGGGAAGATTGTGATGTTTGCCTCACAGCTTCAGAACAGCCAGCCACCATGGTGGTAAGGGCATGCAGTTCATATCTTGACAGACAGGAAGCAGAGAAAAGAGATACAGGAAGAAGCTTAGGACAAGATCAGCCCCAAGGACTTGGCCCCAGGGACCTACTTCCTCCAGACTTGCCCCCTCTCCTACTTCCTGCCACCTCTTGGTAACAAGTGTCCTGGAGATGCATGCATTCACAAGCACACCCAGCGTATGCTGTGCTAACCTACGCATTTCCCGGTCCGACCAACCCGACAACAGAAGAGGCAGCAGGAAGCCCTGTGTCCCAGGCCTGTGGCAGGGAAAGTTGGAGTATAACAGAGCTAGAACTCACAACTGGTCCAACCACACCTGCACACACAGGCATGTGTTTTCACACGACACAGGAAGTGATTGAGAAATCAGAAACAAATGAATGGGAGACCCTTAGGGTCTGGGGCAGGAGCTGTCTGTGGTAGTGGGCTGTCAGGGCTGGAGCAAGTGTGTGGGGTGCAGCCTAGGTTTTATTCTCAATATACCAGGAGGTCTCTACAGGCAGACTCTGAGCAGAGTGAGACGGCCCCGTTTGTAGCTGCCGCTGCTGTCACGGTTAGCAGCTCCAGATGCCATTTTCCCATTAACAGCCAGCTCCAAGCCAGTCCTGGGCAATAGATGGCACCCTCCTAGGTGACCTGGGAGTGACAAAGGTCTGCTGGGCTGCTTGTTTTCCCCCAGGAGCTCTTGGTGCTGAAGAGGGGAGCTAGGGGGTGTCATAGGGTCTGCTATCACCAAGAAAGTAAATCGCGCCTTGCCTACTCCATCTACACCTCGGCTAGAGGGTGGTGCACAGGTTGGAAGTTGTATTCATGTCAGAGACAGTTTGTCCCATAGTGTAGAGACACCTGAGGTCATTGTGGAGTGGCTGAGGGTCAGAGATGGGCGAGAACAGAGCTGTTGCTCAGGCCGGTACCAGTAACTGACCTGAGCCCCAATGGAACCGCGCTGCCTTGCTGAGAAATGAACTTGACCAGTACTGTCTTGGTTGGCCTAGCATGTGGTACTTTCTACAGCCAAGAAGTCAGTATTACCATGAACAGAATCCCAGGCCTTCGGGATGTTCTAGGGACAGAGAAACCTCTTTCTCCCAGTGACTCATGTCTGTCTTGATACCATTCAGGAAGTTACCCCTAAGGCCCACCACGGTACCTTTAATCTCATCCTCCCAGCAAATACAGTAGTAATGTTTTCCTCCTGACCCTGGGTGGGTCTGCTTAGTGAAGGAAAAGTAGATTCCCGGGGTCTCCAGGGTGGATGTGCAAGGGGCCGCACTGGTGGGGTTAAAGATTCCCCCCATGATCCGTCATGATCTGAAGTCTGTGGTGTCAGGTCTGTGAGTTTCGTCTTGTCGGAACCCTCTGGGAGGGAGGGCTCATGGGTTCGTTCCAAGGAAACACTCGCGTTGCGCCTGAGTAGACCTAGTTCGGATTGAATTGGCCCCGTTGTCTGACTTCTGTCTCTCCTGCCAGAGGATGAACAGAGAGAGAAATCGGTCTCCCACCAGACCGTGCAGCAGCTGGCCCTGGAGAAGGAGCAAGCCCTGGCCGACCTGAACTCCGTGGAAAAGTCTCTGGCTGACCTCTTCAGGAGATATGAGAAGATGAAGGAGGTCCTGGAAGGCTTCCGCAAGGTGTGTCTGCAGAGTCTGGGTCGGGGTGGAGTAGCAACAGCAGGTTTTTTGTTTTTTGCTGGGGGTGGGGTGGGGTGGGGGGTGGTGGTATGTGGGTGAGAATTCAGGAAGCCCATCCTGAGCCGTTGTGAACAGGAGCACTAGTGAGGTGAAGGAGTCAGATTTGGCTGTTTGGGATGTTCTGGTGTGCCCCTCAGTATCTCTTCTTGTGGCCCTGCCGTACCAGAATGAAGAGGTGCTGAAGAAATGTGCGCAGGAGTACCTATCCCGAGTGAAGAAAGAGGAACAGAGGTACCAGGCCCTGAAGGTGCACGCAGAAGAGAAACTGGACAGGTAACTCGCCCCTCACTCGGGCTGGGAGCTCCAGCGGCACTCTTGACATTGGCTTGCAAAGGGTAGCTAATCTTTATGTCTTGGGTTAAGATCTCACTCAGCCACCACCCACCGAGATAAGTGAAGGATTGCGTTGTGATGTCGGGGAGCACCCTTACACACGTCACGATAGGGGAGGGGTTCTTAGAGTCCTTATGTTTGGGCTCTAGTTAGTGTGGCTGGATTCAGACCTATGGGAGGAGGGAGGGAGGTGTCCACGAGGCCACCTACCATGTTCCTTGTTCCAACAGGGCCAATGCAGAGATTGCCCAGGTTCGAGGCAAGGCCCAGCAGGAACAAGCAGCCTACCAGGCTAGCCTGCGGAAGGAGCAGCTTCGAGTGGATGCTCTAGAAAGAACACTGGAGCAGAAGGTGAGAGGGTGAGGGTCAGGAACCCAGAGTTGGGAGGCCACTCTCCGGCTCTCGCCAGTCCGTCTGGTAATGCAGGCCGCTAGACTGGCAGCGGGCTCCAAACAAAGCCAGGGCAGCTTCCATATAAACTCATGCCTCGTGACCATACCTGTGTTAGATCTGGTTGTTTCCCTTTCTGCCTGTCCTGGAATGGCAGCCCATATGGTTGTTTGTTTGTTTTTGTTTTGTTTTTTGTTTTGTCCATTTCTGATTCCTCTACAACATCATTTGTCACATATTTGTCAAACACTATTGGCATGATGGACATTGCCCTGGAACCTTTCCAACTGTCATTCTTACCAGGGAATAGGTGAGGAACCCACTAGTCTCCTGACAGAGGATGGGCTGGGCACATTCAGATGTTCTCCAGGTGTGTGATCAGTGGCTGAACCTCCTCAGGCCGCTCAGCCTGTGCCTAGCTTCCCTGATTTCCAGTGTGGTAGTCTACTGTGTGCACTGTTTCCCGGATGTACCAGTGAAGACCTCTGCCATCCCAGAAACGCTCCAGTTCCATGTGGTCCAAAGCGGGCAGGGTGTCTAGGCTGAGTTTCAGTAACCTTTGCTCTGGTAGGTACTGGCTGTCTCCTGCTAGGTGCTCTCAGAGAAAACCTGGCAATGAAACAGGTCGGCTGCTTACACACTCCACCAATCGTATGGCCCTGGCGAGCCTTGCTCTTCATCTCGCTTCCTTGGTCCTCTTTAGCACTGAAGATACTTCGGATGAGAGAATTTCCCTGATATCAAGTGTGATACTAACCCCACCCCACTTTTTTTTTTTTTTAAAAAAAAAGGAAAAAAAAAACTTATAAAATCATTTTTAGCCCTGGCTCTGAGGATGCAAAAGAGTGACTGATGGTCAGTCAACCACAAGAAGTATGTTTTAGAAAGAAAAGGCTAGACCAGTGTCATATGCCAGCTCCTGCAGCCGCCTGTGATTTCTGGGCTCTGCTGACTGTTCAGAGCAGTCACCGTAGTAGAGACAAGACTCAGCTGCAAACCCAAGCATGTGTTCACTCATTGATGATCACCGAGCATCATCGTGTGGTTACTGTTGAGTCTGTGTATATTTTTATAGAAATGGAATGTTCCGTTAAAACAAAGACCACATTCCCTAGTCAGTCTGTGTGTCTGGAAAGTTGTCAGTGTATAGAATCCTCGGGATGCATTTAAATCACCACACTGTGTTAGTTCCTGAAGCAGGAGCCAGGACGGATGTTTCCAAGGTGGTTGGCCTGACCAGAACTGCAAACGAAGGTGATGCAGTGTTTTCTGGTAGATTGAAAGGCACAGATGCAAACACATGGGCCCACGTGGTTTTGGATAATAGCAAAGGTAAAATGGATCTGCAAACATAATTTCACTTTGAACTAAGCTTCCGGAGGAAGGAATTAATCACGATGGTCGCCCCTGGAGGACAGTTATCCATATAACAAACAAGGCTTGTCTTACAGAGACTCAGAAACGCATTCACCGGGGCAGGGCAGTGTGAAGATGCTGGGTTCCACAATGGGGCAGTTTACCCATTCGTGGCTGATGGTGCTGGGTTTCAACTCATCCTCTAGATGTGGATCTCCAGGGCTTCCGCTGTGAGCTGCTGCACATTAAGTTTTTATTAGATGTGAGAACGAAGCCATGTGGTTGCAAGCACAACTTGAACTTGTGTTCCAGGCTGGCCACATCTGTTCCTGCACTCAACCTCTCTGAGCCTCAGGTTCCTCACTGAAAAATGGTGTAACACTGGCTTCCTTTAAAGGGCCAGTGTGAGAACTGAGCTTAGTGATTGACATGTGGTATTCACAGGATGAAGACAGGCATTCGTGTCCATCAGAGGGAAGTGATGGTCAGGGCTTTCAGCACCGGGGTGGACCGAGGTCTAAGATTTACATTTTGGGCAGGAGGTGGGCCATGGCCAGGCTGCTGGGAGATGGTGCTTTCCCCTCATGACAGCTGAGGTTTCTCTCCTGTGTGGGCATTGTGGTGTGGAGTGCTGGAGTCCTAACCCAGGGCCAGCCATGGACTGAACTGGGACACTTTGCAGGAGGTTCTAGGGAAGGGGCTGGTGGAGGCCAGCCTTCTTCAGCCTCTCAAAGGAAAACTAGCTGAAAATGTACATGAGATGCAGATCTTCCATCCTCATGGAGGGCCGCTGGGCACTTATGCGTGAACAAAGGCAGCCTTGGGCTACTGGCTGGATTCCAGCTCGATCCCTTTCCTGCGGGGCAGGAACTGCTGCCCATTTATCTGTACCCACGTATGTAGCTGCCTTTGATTGGGCTTCAAAGATGGGCAAAGGACAGCTTCTGCATGAGACTTGTGCCTCCAGGACACCTGTATTCACCATGCTGTGGGAGCCCACAGAGGTTTCCTAGTGAGATCTGAGCTTCCTTTACACAGCAGGGCTGCATTAGGGGATGGCTAGACCACATGCATGGTTACCAGGTGCATGAGATGGTCTGCACTTGGCTGCACAAGGGGGAGGTCTTTTGCTCCACCCCTTGGCAATTTTATAAATAGTCCTTTAGAAGAGACAGAGGGGCTGGTGGGTTTTGACCCAGACCCTCCCAAGGCTATCCTATATTTCTGTCTCTCTCCTCTGTATTTCTCCCTCCTCAAGAGTACCCTGGGAGAAAAAGTAGGGGCTGGTCCCCCACACCACACCACGTACTGAGCTTGTTCTAAATAACCCTAGCATTTCCCTAAACTCTTGGACCTTTGTCAGGAAAGCCATGAACTAGCTTAGACCAGCTCTTCTTCACCCTGGACCTCAGATTTCGGGGACAAGAACTGTACTAGGTAACCCTCCGCTGTGGTCTGCTCACTGTGCCTTTACATTTACACGACCCCACATTTCTGACCTCATGTCATTCTTACTACACTTTAAAGATGAGGAAGCCGAGGTTCAGACTTGCCCAAGCTCACCCAGCCATAGCATGTAAACTTGGCTTGCTCCCAGTCATTTCCTCCAATGACTTTAGGGAACCTTAGGGGAGACCAGAAGACTGGGTAGATTCTGATTGATTAGTAATAGCAGTAATAGCTGTTGTTGAGACAGGATCTCACTGTGTCCTTGGTGGCCCGGTACTCACTATGTAGATCAAGCTGACCTCAAACTCTTGCCTCTGCTCGGCAAGGGCTGGGATTAAAGACTCGGGCCACCCACACCTGGCTTTCTTTGTTTTCTTTTTGGTGTGTGTATGTTCATTTCTGTTGCTTTTGCATATATTATTTCACAACACCACTCTTGTCTTCCATTTTCAGAATAAAGAGATAGAAGAACTCACCAAGATTTGTGACGAACTGATTGCCAAAATGGGGAAAAGCTAACTTTGAACCAAGTGCTTGGACTTGGCCGTTGCGTGCAATACGACCGTCAGCACACTGTTGTCCTTCCGAGCCTGTGGACCGGTTGCTTCTCACTTTATATGCACTACTGTGTTCCCTTTCTAAATGAGGCTGGTTTGAGCGTATGCAGTGCCGAGAACTACCAGGATTCCTTGCTATCTGTTTGCATTTTCTAGTATAATTCATAGCAAGTTGACCTCAGAGTTCCTGTATCAGGGAGACTGCCAGATTCTCTAATAAAAAGACAAATTGCTGACTTTGGCCTTGCCCTTTGGTGAGGAGCTTCTGATGTGACATGAACGTATGCAGCCTGCATAGGGACTCTTGCCTTAAAGAGTGTACAATTGATCCACATTTGCTGGTTTGTTTGTTTGTTTTTTAATGCATGTTTCAAATAAAATTCTCTATTGTAAATAAATTTTTTTCTTTGAGTCTTGGCAGCGAGCGTGACTGTGAATTATTTTCTGGGAATGGCTGAGTCCTTTCTTGATCAGAATTTCTTTAGAGTTTATTAAAATGCGAAATCCCATGCACAAATATTAGAGAACAAAAGGAGAACCTGAGCCATACCGCAAGCCACTGGTCACACCTTCAAGTGCTCACTTCTTTGCTCGAAAGGGCCCCGAGCATTCCTCTCTACCTTTACCCTCAGTCACCAACATTCCCAGTGAAATCCCCGCCTTGGACCAAAACGCTCCTCTCAACTGGCTAGTGAACCAGTGACAGAATTCCCATCACACTTTCTTGCCTTCATTAAGTCATATCAGACTTGGTTTCTGCCTCTTTCTGGGGCCCTTTTCTTTGTCCATTGATTCAAATAGGATTTCCTTCATTATCGTGTCTGGGTTTGTAAGAGGAAGCAAATGAGAAATATTGACTCGGCTTAAATAATTAAGTGGATCTATTGGATTAGCTTAGATTTCATTTCTGCAAAGCCTCGGCCATTAGGCAAAAATCTATTTCCTTTTATTATTGTGCAAAGGCAGTAGCAAGTTGTCAGGCTTTCTTTCCCGCCCCTTGGTGCCTGACCAACCCTGGTACGCAGCCTACTCCTCTGTATGTGGTGAGGAAGGGCCAGAGATATCTGGTGGGAGGCGCGTCATTAGCCACTTAGCAACCTGACTGCTTGCCAGATTCCTTGATGCCACAACCTGTGACCTGTGACCTGCGAGGAGACCTCGGAAGAGACTAAGGAGGAGCCGGAAGGTAGTTGCTTTTCTGGGCAGCTGTCACAAATGCCCACAAACATAGCAGCCGGGAACTACAGAAGTTCAAAGTCAAAATGAGGTTGGGGCAGGCAAGGACAGTCCATTCCGTCCCTCTCCCAGCTTCCTGTATCCCACCCAGCAGCACTCCAACCTCCCAGTTCACACTGCCTTCTCAACCCTTTGTGTATCTACGTCTCAGACAGCCCCTCATAGTAAATGCTCTCACTACTGGCTGAGCTGTACCCTCCAGACCTCTTTATTTTCTCATTTTGAGACAAGGGATGCTCAAACTGGCATTGGACTCATTCTGTAGTCCAGACAGCCCTTGAATTTACAATCCTCCTGCCTCAGCCTCAGCTGGGTTTACAGGTATGTGCCACCATATCCTTTATAAGAATACCATAATTGGACTTAGAGCCTACTGAATATTCAGGGTGATCTCATCTGGAGATCCACAGTTCCATCCACAAAGGCCATTTCCAGGTACAGCCATATTCACAGGGGGCAGGGATTAGGGAATATGCATGTATTTAATTTTCTTTGTTACATTACGTAAAGGTGTGTGAGTGAGGTCAGAGGACAGCTTTGGGGACTCGCTATGGAACACATGTGGAGAACTAGGAGAACAGTTCTCACCTTCCACCATGGGGGTCCTGGGGAGCAGATGCAGGTGGGTCATCTGGCCTGGCGGTAAGCGCCGTTACCCACTGGGCCTTGTGGACTGGCAGAGTGTGTGGTGTGGCTGAGTGTGAAAAGGAGACCCGAGCTCCTGTGTTCCAGCTTAACGGTCCCCCTTCCTACCCCAGGCACAGCAGCTATGAGGCATGCACTGTAGAGGTACCCTGCTCCTATCAGGGCAGGTTTTAGGCTGCTTTGTCTGGGAGAGAAGATGGGGTGGGGAGAGAAGATGTTGTGGCTTACAAACACATGAAACTCGGACATCACAAGGAGGGAGGGAGATAGACCCACTCTGGTTGGGGCGTCGGCCCGGTGGTGATAGACCACGTCTTTGGGTCCGTTTCCTCTGTATGTGGGCTCTAATGAACAGGGACAGGGAACTGCCTCTGTCACCCTGTCCAGTACCCACTGCCTAGTCCTGCCAGTGAGGACCCAGAGCCCTCGCTCTTGCTGGCCATATCCATCCCTTCCCTTCCGGGATCCTCACCTCTACTCTTATTTGCAGCATTTAAGAAAAACATTTTCATTTCTAAAAGGATGACCAATACAGGTAAGGAAAACATCCTAATCCCCAAACCAAGAAACTACAGGTGTTGTGGTCTTTGTCTTTCTTGGCATATGAAATGCTTACCTAATTTTGTCACTGTGCTGCTTTTAAGACATTTATCGGTTTGCTTATCCACCCAGCCTCAGGGTTCCGTTCGGCTGACTTTTCTCCCCATGTGACCGGTGGTTCTGATAAACGGCACTGGTGGCAGCAATGGTTACTGCATGGAAAGGTCACGGTCATGACAGAACCTAATGCTAGTTTTAGAGCTTTATTAGGAGGGAAAAGTGGAGGGGAGAATGAGGGGAGCCAGGCCTAGGGGGAGGGAGCAGAGCAGAGAGGGAACAGAAAGAGCACAGAGAGAGGGTTGGGGTCTGTGTCCGGCTTTTTAAGGCATGTACATAGCTGCCAGCACCCGCTGATGATGTAAGACGCAAGACCCCAAGCTGTGTACATGCCAGAGTGAGGGCAGGATCCTAACAGTGACTGTCATATAAACTCTTTCTTTTCTTAGTAAAATAATTAAAATATATACATAAAATGCCAAGCTGTCGCCGGGCGGTGGTGGCGCACGCCTTTAATCCCAGCACTTGGGAGGCAGAGCCAGGCGGATCTCCGTGAGTTCGAGGCCAGCCTGGGCTACCAAGTGAGCTCCAGGAAAAAGCGCAAAGCTACACAGAGAAACCCTGTCTCGAAAAACCAAAAAA